AATACATCAAAAAGAAAAAATATCATTTTTACAACACTTAAAATATTCAATAGATTAAAATGCTGCAGTTACAAGTTAGCATGTGAGTACCCTAACACTTAATATTCATTTAATCATTATTAACTAGAGGGCGGCACGGTGGTGTGGTGGTTAGCACCATTGCTTCACAGCAAAAAGGTTCTGGGTTCGAGTCCCCGGGGGAACCAGGACCTTTCTGAGTGGCGTTTCCACGTTCTCCCTGTGTCTGCGTGGGTTTTCTCCGGGTTCTCCGGCTTCCTCCCACCGTCCAAAAACCTGCATGTTAGGTTGATTGGACCAAATTGCCCTTAGGAGTGATTGTGTGTGGTTGTTTGTCCTTGTGTGTCTCTGTGTACCCCTGCAATGGAGACAGGGCATAATCTGTTATTTAGCTATTGTTGTTCAAAAGACGAAGTCACATGCTATTTTAATAGGAAACTAACAGCAAAGACATACAGCACTAAAGTAAAGTACTGTCATGTCAAAACTGCACTTATTTTCTTGTGCAAATCCACTTGGTTAAATCATCCCCGCTGAGCTCGCGGTGTCCTGTTCTTCCCTTGAGTCCCTCACCCCGGCTAACCAAAAGTCTCTTTCACTCTCACTTTTTATCCAGCCTTCTGCTCCTCACCCCTCACCTATCTTTCACTTGTTCTTCTGCTATTTTTCTCAGGGCTGAATGTCTTTTCAGCATCATCCCCTTTTGGTACTCTACACCCACACACCCATAGCAACACGTTGTCGTCTCTTGGTAACCGCATTTACGCAACAAGTGAAGAAACTGAGAGTAAAGTAGGCTTCGGTCTACTTTATAGTCTTATGTGAATCAATCTGAACAAATTTCAGGCTGTACAACATCACAGCCAAAGTTTTATTTGTTATATACTGAAGTTTGTGGAACTTTCCGTGTTGCTGGTTGACCTTGTTTCTCCTCATTTGTTTACTCATTTAGTAACAGGAGTCATGTCATATTTGTAATTACTCTGTTGTTAATCACTGACACGTGACTTGATATTCTGCCCAGTGTGAAAACCTGCTCTGAAATCCATGTGAGACAACATTTCCCAGAGGTAATGAAATTATCCAGAAACTGAGCCTTTAATTGGACTGGAAAGATAAGCTAATTATGTCAGTAGTTAAGAAATAATGTGTAGAAAACGTTAAACCTGTCAAACGTGTTAAGGGTGAAGATCCGACAGAACCCAAATCCAGATGGAAAATCAACTTAAAATGTGTTATGTTTACATGCCTTCGGCTTTTAGATGCACAGTAGTCATGACTTGACTTGACATGACTTTACCACCTTTCCTCTTGGGCTGTCCACTCTAAAAGCCCAGCCTGCTCCGATCGGTAAGTTGCAGTTGCTCCCTCATTCTTTGAAACAGCCACGAGACAGCTATGATGCAAATAAATTACAAGATGATGCAGATCAGTAGCAAAAGAAAGTCTCAACATTGCAGAGATTCAGAAGCAGTGTCTCCTTTTGGAGAAAATTCTAAGTTGACTTTTTGTTCAGCTGCACAGACGAGCCTTAATGCACTAAAGGAAACAGAACCCCTACAAGCTCTCAACATTTTAATGTTGCCTCTTGTTCCATTCATGTCAGTGATGTTAGTGCATTATAATCCCAATTTGTTACAGACTGAGATAACAGTTTTTTTTTTAATGCTATCATTTCATCATAATAGTAAGGAGTTTGGTAAAAAAAAAAAAATCTGTAATGAATGTGGTTTGTTTTAAAAAATTACTTAAAAGGAGGCTTACTGGTTCTGAATGTTAAAACATCATCTTTCCCTATTTTGTTCAGTCCTGCATTTAGAGAGCTGTCTCTGGTGTTTCTATGGCCTGAAGTTGTTTATTCTATCCTTAAAGACTAATTAGAGATAGTTTCATGTTTCTCTACAGATGGCCTCCCAGGTTGATTCATGAAATAATTCAGACTTTGTTTCAGATCTGAACAGAAGTGTTCCATCCATCCATCCATTTTCCTAACCGCTTATTCCCTATTGGGGTCGCAGGGGGGGGACTGGAGCCTATCCCAGTAGTCAATGTAGAACTACAACGAGAGGCGGGGTCCACCCTGGACGGTCCACCAGTCCGTCCCAGGGCCACACAGAGACACACAAAGACGAACAACCACGCACTCTCTCACTCACTATGGGACATATGGGAATCCTGGTCATGGCTCCAAACTCAATCTGTTTCAGAAAAAAAAAAAAAAAAAAAAAAAAAAAGAAATTGTTTGGAGGATTTCATTGTAGTGTGAAATTTCTGGTATTCTCTCCCAAAATGTTGCTGTCATACAATCGACTTTGGTCAGTGTACTGTGAGACCCTCTGCCACTTTGTGTCAAATGAATTCCATCCAGCAGGTAAACTCCAGCAAACCTGTGGAAGCAACTTCTATCACCAGAACTCAGTATTTATGTGCATGCTAAATAAACAGCCCTTATGATTGTGTAATTCCTTCTAATCAAGGGTATATGCACGTTTCATTCAGTTTTTTTGACAGATTATTAAAAAACAAGAGCAGGAAATCAATCAGTCAATATCAGTATGATTCTGAAATATCATTTAATGAGTCAGAAAACCTTTTTGCAGCTGTCTCCAAAATAATGAAAACCTGGAGATAAAGTTTAAACACTATTAGTAATGATACAACATTTTGGTTCTGATTCAAATGAATCCACAACTGGTTGCATGTACATGATCTGTTTTTTCTACATTGCAGCACTCAATATTTCTTTGTATTTCCAAACACCGTTTTAAATTATTCATGAATTCATGAAAAGCAGTAACTGTCTTGTTTATTTGTTTTTCATTTATGTTTTCGTGTTGCGTTATGAAACTGTCCTCCCCCGCTGCTCGACCTCTCAACATATATCTATATATACTGTCGCAAATATCCAGAGGAGAGAGCCATTTCCTGCCTCAAGTCCTCACTAATTCACACTCCAATCACTGAGCCCTCCTGGTATTATCGTCCTGTTTTTCATGTCCCTTAGATTCCACTGCCCGCTCTTTTCATTAATGAACTAATCGCTGTGCCCGGGGTTGTGGGCGGAGGGAAATGACACTCCACCTCGCTCTTTCATTCACAGATATAATACCTGTATTGTAGAGTAGCAGAGGACGGAGGCCTGGAGAGCTTTTTGTAATGCAACAGGAGGAGATCAAAGGGGAAAAGATTGTTGCTCCATCATGGTGACATGTATGAAATTGAGGACTACAGCATGACTGTAAGAGATGGAGAGGGGGTATTTTCTAGCCACCATGTTTGTTCCTTTTCATCGGTGTTGTTTGTGGCCCCACATGAGTGTTTGTTTCTCTGCTTTCCAGGCCCACGCAAAACCCCAACACCGGTACTCAGTTTGCGTCCCACAGGGCATGGCATGTCCAGAAATGAGATCACACTCAGGACAAGGTGCCAAAAAGAGATACCCCGGTGGTCCGACATGCCCCTCTCTGCCATCCCAAACACTTCTCCCACTTATCTGTGTGGGCACTGCCACTCTCAAACACATGCTCTTCTATGTAAACACCCACACCCTGCGCACACGTAACAAACCTACACACACATATATGCACACAAAGAATCGTACAAACGTTGCACTTTATTCTGTCAGTCTATTATCTTTATCAGTCCAACTCACAGAGAGTGTGTGAGTGTCTCTCCGCCATCGTTTGATATCTTTGGTATATATTCAGCCATTCTGTATCCTAATAGCTATTTTTATGTACATTTTGAGTCTATTCTAGTCCATTTTTGCTTCATGTTTATTTCATTTTTTTATTGAGGTCTTTTGCTGCTTAATTTCTAATCCTTATTTCATTCTGGTTATCCTGCATTTGTTGTTTTTGTATTTCTGTCAGGCCACGTGTGTTTGTGATCATTTATCACCCCTTGTGTCTTTTCTTGCCTTTTTCAAGTTGTTTTGTGTCTCTTTACTTTGATTTAGGCTGTCTCTGTTGCAGATGTTTAGCATAATTCAGTGATGTTTTTCAGGTGGAACCCAGAGGCCATCTGAACCCTTGAACCCCTGTCCTGTTGAGAAAGCCAGCCCCCACAGTATCACTCTGCTCCAGTCAGGCTTTCTTTATGTCTAAATGTCAGCAGGAAATAAAAGAGACGCTTTCTGTTAATGTGGACACACACACCTCCTACCCCTTTGCACTCTTTAATGCCATCACCAGGCTCTGTCATCTAAGTTTCTTCACTGTTTGACAAACTATGCACAAAAACAAAAGAGATCCCAGCTGAACTGTATTTCCGAGCTTGGAGGCTGCTGCATTCTACCTGACTTGAAAATAAGACAAAGTCACCATCAGTTTTTCCATCTACAGCCGTATGAGTTTTTGGAAAATGGAAGAAAATGTGGGCTCAATCGTCAATTAAGTTATAAAACCACCACAGTCACTTCAGGCCACTGCTATTCCTGGACTTATGTCCGCCAACAGAGGAGATCTGCTGCCCTCTGGTGGATAGAAGATGTCTGATCCCGTTACATAAAACAGGACGGCGGGTGAGTCATGGCCCCCTCTGTGAGAACAGATGGGAGGTGTGTGTGGTGTATTTGTATGTAGGACTGGGTGAGAAAACAGCAGTGGACTGTGGAACGAGGGCTTCCCCACATTGCTCCCCCTCTGTGCTTTTTCCGGTTCTTTTTTTTTTTTTTGTGGGCCGGGAAAACCAGTTGGTGCTTCAGAGAGGTGCTGTGGCATCACAAATGGATCGAGGAGCACAAATGGCTCCATTTGTGAAATATGGGATTTATTCTTCCTCTTTCTAACACTGCTTATCAACAGAGATGAAACACACCCAGAACTGCGGTTAGGACTGGAATCACAATAATGTTAATGTGTTTTATGTTAATAAGGCTCGTGTTTATTGTGTCTGTAGAGGTAAGGATGAGGAGATTATAATTGCTTTTATTAACAATTGCAGGAATTTGTTTTGTGTATACATACTGGGGGAACAATCGCCTGACAGCAAGAGGGTTCTGGGTAGATTGAAACCTCAAACTATCCTTTACCAAAATATTGTTGCTAGCATATCAATGTTAAGCGAACTGTTGAAAAATGCTGAATCAGGTCAGGTCATAACCAAAGACTAAACCCAAGGGGTTTTTTTAAGCAAAAAAACCCCATTATGTTCATTATGAACTGTTTTTTCTCTCTCAATGTTGTCAATGCTAACAGGATAGATGTTAAATTATTTCAGAAAAGTACTTACTCTGACACACTGATGGAAGGGTATATCGATTTATTTGGGTTTAGATCTTTAAAAAATATAAAGTACAACACAATGTGACGAATTTGGAAATGGTGAGACAGAGCTCCAGCAGTGGGGTGAAGGCTGAGCGTGGTCGCTGAGGTCTGGTGTGAGTGGTTACTGAATCGTGTGTCTCTACAGGAAACAGGGCCGACAACAATAAAGTGACAGACAGAAGTGAGCTGAAAAGAAGGCGTAAACTGGTGAAAACAGATCGATACGGTGACATGAGGCATAGATAACTCCACCTCAGGGCAGGAATATGTCACAAAGATAAATTTTCGCCCTGAACAGAGTAAAATCTCTTTCATACGCAGCGACCACAGACCGGTGCTGCCGGGCTACTGTTGGGTACAAAACAAAGGAAGACGTGATATCATGGGGAGAGTAAAGAAGCGAGAACAACTCAAACTGCACTAATTAAAGCTGCTATGTATCAGGGTGTCACTGCGTCTACAATGTGTTGTATACTGTACTGCATGTGTAATGCTACACATCATACAGACAGAAAAGTGTCACTTCCTTTGGATGGCTAAGTACAAAAAGCTAGGTAATAACATCACAGTGACTGGTTGAACTGCATTGACCACTTATGCTTTACAGCTTCTTTTGCATCAATATACCTCCTCTCTTCTTCCTCTACTCTAAAAGGTGTAAGGCCCCACGTAGATGGAGAGTCTGAGGGCGGAGCTGGTCTTGTAGCTGCCCTGGTAGCTGAGCAGTTGGTTAACGGAGACCATCTCCAGGTCCAGCGTGTACTCTCTGGGCCCGGACACGGCGCGGGCCAGCACCAGCATGGCGCTGATGTTATTGATTTGCTGCAGAAGACAAAACAAAGACTACTGAGCACACTGTCAAAGCAGACTGAAATGGGCTGACCAGCAGCAACTGTTGCAGGCATTTACAGTCACTGTATTTCTGAACGGAACTGGTAACGGCTTCTATTTTTTCCTGCAAAAACCGGTGCACCTGTTATATCAATCTTGGCAAGTTCAACGTGTGACTTCAAGGCAGCATTGCGCATAAAAGAGATTTGAGGTTGAGCTTCAGACAAGGTCATTTTGCATTATTTGATTCCATTTGATAAAAAAGGCCATCTTGAAATGGTCACATAAAACAAAAATGTGAGGGGAAAAATCAATCATCATCTAAACATTCAGAACTGACCCACTTTAACGTCTTTTTTCAGGGGTACTTGGGATGAGTAGGACATGATACGTATTTAATTTAAGCATTGTCTTTTGAGCTTTGGTCCTTAGATGGGAACATCATCCTCATACTCTGGTGCAAATTGCGAAAATATATAGTAACTGAGTTAGCATTCAGTTAGGTAAAAGGTAATAAATGAATAACAAACAAATTACAGTAATATCAATAGCTAAGTCAACTTAATATGAAACAAATTCTTTAGAGCTTCTTTGTTGAAGAATCGGATCGCTGCAGTTTTTCTCTGAAAAAAGGACATGACTGGTCTGACTAAAAGACCAGGCTGAAAACTGCAGATTACCTTTTGTCCAAATCATTAAGAATATAAAACAAAAAAACTGGACTACAAACAAGCTGTTCAGGCAGTTTACCTCCTGTTTCAGAGAGGACCTCCCTCTGGTGTAATGAAATGAAAGCTTTATAGTTAACTTTAAACCCCAAAGACATCACTTCATCTTCCATGTGCACAACTATTGGCAGTAAAAGAAATTGTGTCCTTTGGATTTATGCCCTGTGTGGCTCTGATGGAGCTTATGTTGATGCTATCAGGCTTATCCCGCATCGAGCTCAAGGCTCTGCAACACAAACTGGACGTGTGGTCATTACAGAGGCAGGTGGGGGGCCTACTGGGGAGCTGCATCGTGGGATGCAGTACTTTTAAAGCCTGATCCAGTCAAGATATCTTCCCCCCTACAGGAACAGGTCCCCAGACTGAAAAAAGTGCACTATTATTACCATTATAGCCCCTCACCTTTTAATGAAATAAAAATAAAACGTTAATAATTCTAATTGTCTAAATAAATCCTGAACATTATTAATTTTTCATGCAAAATTCTTGCTTTCTTCAGCATTCCACTGGATCTACGCAACTCTTTGTTTCTTTTCAACGTTTGGCCATACCCTGTTCTGTTCATTCAGAGAAAATGAACCGTCCATGGTACTGGATGGTCATTTTAAAAAAAGCTCTTGATGAAACAACCATGAACCTTTAAAGCAGCACCCACACCATAATCTGACACCAAAGATGTGGTTGGATTGGTTCGCAGCTACCTTCATTCTCATGTATTGAATGGTGAATGACACACGTGCGATCACTCCGTGATCCCTGAACACTTTGCTGTGATCGGATCACGGGTACGCTGTGCCCCCTGACATCTCACCCTGATGTAGAAGTCTCCGTTCTCGTCCCCGGAGCGGATGCGGAAAGTGTTGTAGGCCCCCGCAGAGACGCTGGTGGCCTGAATCTGGAAGATGTCGGAGGGGACAGAGCGCTCCGAGGTGATGCTCATGTAGCGGTGGACCACGGAGAAGGGCAGATCCCGACAGGCCGGCTTGCTTACGGGGCACACACAGCGGCTGGTAACACACACACACACGCACAAAAACACACACACATACACACACAGTTGGTTACTTTTCATGGGGACTGCAGTTTATACATCTGACAGCAGAGGGAGTAGCACCACAGCGTGGAGAATCTTCTCAAACTCTCTGACCCAGCGCTGAGCAGTGGCCTTTCTCCCACATGTTCATCCATAGCACACTCTATCTCATACTACCGAATCATCTGGGACACGTTAACGACGACCCACACCTGCTCCAACTTGTTCATAGCAGTCGTAGTCTCTCAGCTGCGTTTGGAATGCGTTCCAAAGAACAGGCTGAACAGTTGGACTCATACGCGGAAAAAGTAATTGGGGGGTAATTTTGCAGTCTGAGCCTTACTCAGCACAGAGGCTGATTATATTCTGATCTGAGGTCCAGCACATTTTTGCGTAATAAGGACAAGGTGTGTGGAAGTATGTGTTTGTGTATGGGCGCACAGCGGCCTTCGGGAGGTGTCACTCACTTGTCAGACACTTGCACGTAGGGGTCCTGGCAGCGGCTGTTGTCCACACACTGGTAGCGTCCGTGGATGTTCACGCAGGTCTGCGCCTCGGTGCACTGATGCTCACCTGTTTCACATTCGTTTATATCTGCGGAGGACAAAAGGGCTCGTGATGTTTGACGGGGCAGCGGGAGACAGACGAGAGCTGCTGCCGGAGCAGAAAGGCTGACTGACTCAGAGCAGCGTTCGTGACTCTGAGAGCGTGGAGAGGGGAGAGCGTGAGCGTCAGGAGGAAATGGAGCGCTCACCCTGGCACATCCGGGTGCCGTGCAGCTGGTATCCCTCAGGGCACACGCAGGAGAACTTCCCGGGTTCATTTACACACTGGTATTGACACAGGTAGCTGGAGTAGCTGCACTCATCAATGTCTGACAAGAACGAGTTCAGATCTAATTAGTACCGCAGGATTAGTGGTGAAAGAGGTGCAGAAAACTGTCAGTCACACATCGATCCTCGTGGCTCTCTTACCGTTACAAGCGAAGCCATCGGGCCCGAGCTCGTAGCCCTGATCGCATCGACACAGAAAGGTGCCATATGTGTTGTAACACCTCTGAGAGCAGGGGGCACCCATCTCACATTCATTCACATCTGAAAGGAGTTAAGGCAGATTTCACTGTAACAAAGTCTCTGAAATGTACTTTTGTACTATTAATGAAAAGACCTACACCTTTTTTTCAAAGGCTGTTAGATTGCACAATTCTGCTATACCTGAAACCCAGTTGGTAATAAGCTGTACAGAAAAATGGATGGATGGATTTTGCTATTTGTACTTTGGAGTGCTTTTAACACCAGAAATCATCATATGAGGAATTAAGGCTATAAATGTAAAAAAAAAAAGTTGGTTATAGCTCTAATTACTTAACATAAGTATCAAATGTTACATTAACAAGGGGATATTAGCTACATGATCAAATGTTACAACATTATGAAGCATTTCATAAAAAGAGACATTTTAATTGCCGTGGAATTTAACTTTAACTGGAGTTTAACATTTCTTTGAGCAGATCACTGTTAATCTCACCAATGCAAGATCGGTTGTTTCCCGCCAGCTGAAAACCAGGTTCGCACTGACAGGAGAAGGAGCCGGGGACGTTGACGCAGCGATGCTGGCAGTACCTGTACCTGCACTCATCAATGTCTGACACAGAGAGACGGAGTCAGAGAGGTTTTTTCAAACCGACCTCCCAAAGAGTTTGAAAGTGGGGAGCGCCTCACCGATGCACTCGGTGCCGACCTTGCGGTACCCGTCGGGGCACTGACAGGTGAAGGCGCCCACTGTGTTGATGCACTGCTGGCTGGGCTGGCAGTCGTGCTCGTCTCGCTCGCACTCATCGACATCTGTGTGTGTGTGGGTGAGGAGACACAAAGGGAGGGTGTCGAACGCGGTTATTGAGAGCAAACCCAGCATTGCTCAGCGTGGCTGACACAGTCACTGTGACTGTTTGAGGCGATGGCCGCAATGTTCTCCTCACTTGCACCCAACAGCTGAGAATATCATGCTGAGTCATGCTCGCTGCCTCACGCCAACCAGATGAACACCTCATCGTCCTACAGCACCAGTAGGTTTCTAAAAACACAGCAGCTGTCCTCGCGTGAAATCGTCCACATTCCTGCGCCGCCCGCCTGCCTCCCGTGGTCTCCAACTCCCTCACACCCACACAGATTACACCAACACGCTGCCTCCGGCCCCGAGGCCTGCCACGGCCACCTGTCCCTCCCAATCTGTGGCCACCAACAATGAGGTTACACAATCGCTGGCTCACAAACAGGCCTAATGGTCATTCATCCTGTGGCCACCTGTCCACCTCCGAACCCCAGACAAAAACAAAGACACTCACCCACACAGCTGTCTTCGCTGGGCTCGTAGCCCGGAGGGCAGGGGTTAAAGGCCTCCGTGGGCGAGATGGGGGGCTCTGGAGCAGGGATGACCGACGCCGAGCGGGGAAGGCACAGGTAGCCTCCATAGTGGTTGAAGCACTTCATGTCCCCTTTGCAGGCATCGGGAATAGTCTCACACTCATTTATGTCTGTCGGAAGATGCGAAGACGGACCGTTGATAAAAGCACGTGTTTGTAAAATGCTAATTAAAAACAGTTTTGAGAGCTTTCGGAGGTCCTGAGGGGGGCAGCTGCAAATAAAGTGGGGATTTACCTTTGCAGTGCTCAGTATTAGGGTCCCAGTGATAACCATCTGTGCATTCCTAAAAGAAAATCAGAGGAGAGAAAGAGTGTGTGAGGAAATGATGGAAAAAAGACATGTGCGCAGCCTTTTTTGTGCCAAGGCGTTTCATAATATATTCATAATACATAATAAATCTCCAGTAGTAGACCGTGAAAAAAAGAAGCAGTCAATGGAGAAACGCTTCCTCTGTATTCATGTGAGAGCGCTTCATGAAAAGCCTGCTTCTGTTGAAAAGTTTGTGGTTTTTCAAATTTCAAGCCCAAAACCAAATGTGACTCCAAATACAAAGTTTGGAAAAAGAGCCATTATCATGCAGGGGGGAAAATAAAATAGATTCTGTGACCCACACGGAAAGAAAAACTGAGGCCCGAAGAAACGTGGTATTAAAACCAAATTTATCCCCAGCAAAGACCACTGCAGACAGGAAAAAAAATAGTGCGGAACTTTTGACAGGTGACTCGAGGATAACATGGAGACCTGAAAAACAGATGTGTGTCAGCTGGCAGGTGTGACGCAGCAGCAAACGCAAATGTTGGAGCTGCCCTGCTCCAAAGCACGTTGAACATACAAGGCATAAAAGATACAATTACGAATTTCATTAGGTTCGAAAAAATGATGACTTTCTAATTTCAGTCTTGAAGTTTTTGTTTGATTACAGTGGGTTCAGAGGAAGGTCTGTCCTATCTGAGGCTCAAATAGACCCTTACTGAACCAGTCCGTTTAGGAGTTGTGGATTTGGTTTGGATCTCGTTTCATCTTCAGAGTTACTCAAACACAGTGGGATGTTGAACTTGTTCTTCTAACTGTAAAGCATTCGATGCTTCAAGGTTGGAACACAAGTTGTCATCAGTCTGGCTTTGTACTTTCTCTCTTCTGCAGACTTTTTTTCCCAACAGAGGCTTTGACTGAGTGCCGTCCAATAACTGAAGTTTTCAAACCTCATTTCTGGAGCTGTTTCCCAAAACCTTCAGGACAGTTTGGAAGCTTAAACTGTTAGAGCATTTAAAAAGATTTTAAATATGCTACATGTATAAAGTTATCAGAGAGCTGAAATCACCCTTTTGCATTGTGCTTCTTTCTTTTTTTCACTCTGAAATTTATTTGCTAAAAAGAATATTTCAACTTTAACTTGGAACATTTGGGGATGAGCTTAATGTGTATACATAACTCAGTAAAAGAAAAGAAGAAAACCTTTTGTGATCTATTGTCGGTCGTATGAAAGACAGAGGGAGGATGCAAACAAAAATGACAGAGAGGAGAAAGAGGGAGAAAATTCATCCATCCTTACCGTGTAGGTGTCAGTTTCTCTGTGTGACTGTGAAATCGCACTGCGGAGGAGCACAGACACACAAATGCAAACACACAAGATTGACACACAAGCACCCTGCATACTAATACTCTAACTGATGGGTGATCAAGGAGAAACAGTCAAACACACACACACACACACACACACACACGCAGCTGATGGACAGGTAGCAGTGCCGTGAAGGTGGAACTCTGTGATGCACAGAGCAGTCAGGAGGTGGTACCTGTATTTCAGAGAGGGACACAGAGTAGGGGGGGGGGGGGGGTCGGAGACAGACAACATTTAAAAAGTGAAAAAACTCTGATGGAAAAATGTCATAAATGCTGTCAGAGCACAAACTCCCTCTTAATAACAGCAAAAATACATGGAGTGAACCTCTCTGCCGGGTCAAAACACAAACTCTGTGACGAACTCCAACCTCCAGCCGAAAATAACCATGTCAACATCACTGAAATGCGGCTTTACAGAAAGCTCTCTGTCTGCTCGTTGGCAGTCTGCTGTGTATCAGAGCTAAGACCACGCTGGCCCTCAAGTCCTGGACATGTCCCATATGTTTTACAGCAGCATCTCAGGCTCACCTGCTTCGGTTTCAAACATTAGAGTCCACTTCTTTCTGTTACGACTCAGATCCTCCCGTGCTGAGCATAACCATCTCAGTCAGTTGCTATTTATAAGGCAAATGACATCCACAAACACTACAGAAACTGTATGGCATTCAAAACATGTTTGTCTTTTTATGCTTCGTCCGGAGAGAGATTTTTTCCTACTGGAACATTTTTTAGTGACTTCATGTGCCTTGGGGCTTTGGTGCCTAATGTCCTTGTTGAGGTATATGTGTAGATATATAACTTGAAACCAGGTATATAACAATGTTATAAAACAATTATGCAAAACTGGCAATTACAAGACCTCACCAATTCCATATTACAAATATACATGTTTTCAGACTAGATAGATATCTGGGGTGATCTCAGAGTGAAGAAAATCTGTAATATTTTGTGGTTCTTGCTTGTTTTAGAAACCTGACGTGGCACAGTGACATCATAGTGTAGAAAGCATATCCAGTCATGGTGCTCCTTTCATGAAATTGCCTTGAGAACTTCAAACACATTCTACTAAACACTAATCGGACACTTGATATCTGGACTTTTACCTTTAATGGATCACTCTCACAGTGATGTTACCTTTTTTTCTGAAAAAGGACTGAGCATTTCCTCCTCCACTGATCTTTCCCATTCTCTGTCTGGTGTGTTGTGTTTCTGAGGTCCGGTTAAAACTTTTTGTGTTGGTTAGGTATTCTCACGAACTGGGATTTTCTCAGACACAACGGTCTCTGAGTTCATGTTCCTGAACAGAAGCTTTTCAGTCTTTCAAACTCACTCTAAAAACAAACAATTCAAACATTCGAACCCTGGCTGGTGTAAAAAAAAAAAGGCCATTTCAAGTTACAGAAAAAAATTCTAAGTGCTGTTTACAAAGCCAGTGAGTTCCAGCAAAAAACGCTTGACAGGAAAGTTATAATCATTGCCTGTCTACATGCACACGCTCACGTTCTCATCTCAACTCTTGAGGCCACGTTTACAGGCACTGCTTATTGTATTCCAGCTTTAGACAAACAGAAGGCCGCAGGGTGACTCGGACACCCTCAAATAATTGCTGGATGACATCACGGGCAATCTGTGACCTTTACATTGTGAACCAAATGTGCTTACAAAACAGTGAGCCTGGACGGCCAAACATGCCATCACGAAACCGCAGTACGTGACTGGTTTCATTTAGCTCGCCAGCCACTGACGACCAGCAAAAGGCGATCCAAAACCACCCGAAAAACAAACTGACCATCGGCCCGGGGTCCACTCACTCACTGGCTATTGAGTGTGGGCAGCAGGGCAGCAGGGTGTTGCCCCGCTGCCGCCGGAGATCAAGTGGCGGTGGACTTCTGGAATGCCCGTGGCAAGGATGTGGGCGCCAATTCTCAGCTGGGATGCCCTGCCACTGCAGTGGTTCCCAGAGTATCAGGTTCTGGGAAACCCCCCATGGTTGAATAAGAGGACAGCTGGTGCCAAAACCTCCAGCCGCCGCTCCCCTAAACTCACGTCTCTGCGCGGGGTGCGTAGGAGGACGTCAGAGGATGTGGCTCTGGCCCCAGAGTTCACTGTCTGGCTGAAACAGCAACTCACACTGAGAGGCGCAGGTTAACCAAAGCTGGAGCAGCAATTAGACGATCAGTTAGTGACCCTGGAGTTATTGGTTATTTCTTATTTTTCAAGCATGATATAATAGTCAAATACGTCAGGATTTTCAGCTCCTGGTCGGGCAGGAAATTGGGCATCTGACAATATGTAGACCTGATGGGAAGGAACAAATATAAAGGTAGATTCCCTGATGGGTACAGCATTGGTAAGTCGCCACCTGTGATGAAACATAGAAATATCCCACCGTGCGTCCATAAGCTGGACCCACCTGATGGTTTCATAGGATGGACAGGTGGGCAAATTTTTTTTAACCCTGTCTAAAGATTAATTTTCTCATCAAGTGAAACCCAATCACAATCGAGGGTTGTTGTAAGATTTGTAGCCTGGTCAGCATAGTCATGTGATTAATTTGTAGAGCCACAAAGTCCGACTCAACAGGCGAAGGGTCAGACGCCTTATAAAAGTGACCACATGGACTACCAGAGGAGGCACACGGCTAGACCACACACACGTCTACACATGGCAGCGTGAACTGCAGGATGCTCATTTGTTATTAGAGCATACGCGGCTGCCTCGGTGCGGCTGCGCTCGGCCGTGCGTGGAGAAGCCCTGCAGACATGGCGGGCCGGCCCGCTCCCGCCGAGCCCCCTTAAAACTGCTGCCGTGGGACCGGGGGCTCTCCGTCTCATAAACGACGCTGCTAACAGTGAACGGCACTCGCCTGTCGGAGTATTTCACACACACACTGACACCTCCTGTTGTAAGCTGACCGGTGACCCGGTGGGGATGCGGCCCTATACGGACTGAACGTGATGAATGGGTTCTGCTCACGGTGTGGCAGGAGAACACGGGCTGCTCTGGAGGGAACAGCACTCCTTCCCGTTGCCTTACGATCCCACCTGATGCGTGTCGTTAATGGGAGCTGTCTCTCGTCCGCACATGTCTAAACAGTGGACATACATTCATTGTCAAACAGCAGCAAGGCCCCTTGAGGTCATCGTCGACATGCACCCGTTTGTCTGGTCGAAACCAGACTTCAACCCAAACAGAGTTTCACCCATCGACTGACCAAACACGGATTATGACGCCGACTTTTAATGTCCCTCATCGAAACCCTTTTGTGAAACGTAGCACCATAATGTGTGCCTTGTGGCTCTGGGCCTGTCTGCCTGCCTAACCTCTGGATCGTCAGAGCCAAGAAGCAAACTACACAGCCATGTTATCTTGGCTCTTTGAAGAAGCCAAGTGCAGCTGAGGGAGCAGAGCAGGCAGCAGGGCAGCGGTACAACTGTGACGTGTACGGCCTGTGCTGGAAAACCGGCCAGGAGGAACATCTCACCTCCTTTCTTCCTCCTCAAACAGTTTGTAACCTTTTCCGAGTCATCCGGCGGCTCTCTGCTCGCCGTGACCATCTTTTTAAACATGTGGCAGACATTGATAAAAACTCAAGAAAAGTCACAGACCGTCTCTTCCGTTTCTTTTCCTGGGCCTCTGAGCCTCCCTCTGACCGGTGCGTCCGTCTGCAGCCTGTGGGCGTCCCGGATGAGCTGGCGTTCCAAAGTGGTCCCTTAAACTTCTGCCTGTATGACCCTGAGAGAGTGAGCGGGGAGTCCGACAGCTGGAGCAGATGAACACATGCAGAGGGAGGGAGAGGATACGAGGAAGGGAGGGAGGGAGGGAGGGAGGGGGGGAGGGAGGAAGGGAGGGAGGAGAGGGACAGCCCATTTGTACCCCCCCTCTGGCCCCCTGCACTGCCATCCTCCCTTCTACAATCCCCCTCTCCCTGACCCCCCTGGATGCAAATTCCTGGTCTGCGGCCCAAATACCAAATTCCAAATCCGTCCAAATCACAGGCCCAGCAGCAGCTCACAGATTCACACACACATGCCCCCCATCTTCTTTCCCAATGCCCCCCTCCTACTGGTCCCACAACACACCTGGTTTCATTTAAACTAAGCCCCCACTAAAGCCCCAGGCTCCCCCACCCTTTCCTCCCTCCCCTTTCGTACTTACCCCCCATGTATCTATACTTACCTCCCCCATCTTTTTCTTTTTTCCCCCATAAAGCGACTTTAAGCCCTTGCCCTCCTCCAATCTGACATGCAGGATATTTATAGTTGCGGAGAAAGAAAGTTAATGGAATGTGGACAAAAATTAGAGAGTGGAATAGAGTGACTGTGTGGAAACCTACTTGGAAAATTTCTCAGCTTGTTTCGCAGAATGAAATAGTGGTATTCTCTGGGATGAAATACAGAAAATAAACGACTGTCAGCTCAGCTCTGCTCTGTTTGTACATGACTAATGCATTTCTGGGCTTGGAATCATTTCCGGCTGTATGTTTTCTTGCTAGATCTTATGTTGCAAACTCATCAGGATGTTGCCTAACCTGGCTTTGCCCCTATTAGTGTAAATGTTAGTAAGATCATCCTTGTTTTATTTAGCCACTGAGCTAAATTGCAGGATTCTCCGAGACGATCATATGAATTTAAGTTTATAACCAAAAATTAAATATTTAGGGGGAAATGTTACATTTTCCTCCAATTTTTTCTTCCTTCTGTTTAAGTGCACCTCTACCGAGTCTCTTTACAACCCCTCTTTTGGCCTCAGCTTGTTTATCTGCCTTGTGTTTCTGTCTGGTGGCAGAGATGGCAGCTGTCATTACGGGGGATGTTGTTAAAAATCACACTGACACCCCCTCTGGCTGGACCAACTGGTTGGTCCCCTATGGCCACACACAGACATCCCACACAGGCTGGAGTCTGAGTTCATCATATATGTGATGTGACGATCCTATTTAAAGTCTCAAACGGTTTATAGTCTCTGTGCTGGTTACACACTCTGAAAGTGTGGCTTTAAAAGTCTGGCAACATCCCCGTCGCATGATTTGGATCTCCCTTGTCTTTCAGTCCCTTATCTCCACCCAACACCCACAAAATCATAAATCCTGTTTCTGGGATGGGTAAATGAGAACATATTTTCCATACTTTTTTTGGAAAATATGTGTTATTTTCCATTACACTGAAAGGAAAAAGCTAACATAAAACATAAAGACAAGTTAAACCTTAACATAGAATAAAATGACGTAATCACATAATCACACAGGAATTTTATTTAAAAAACAAAATCTTAGATGGTACACAGGCCTTCCAGAAACCTGAAACAATCAAACTTCCATACAAAATAATCAGTGATGACAAAACGGATAAAACACGAGTGAAGCGGGAGAAGAACTGCCTCTGAGATGGGCAGCTAGGCTGGGGAACACCTTAGTCGTGGTACATTTTGAAGATACAGCTTTTGATGACACCCATGTATCTGTCCCACACAATCTGATGCCTGGGGGGGGGCAGAAAAGAGAGACAGAGAGAAAGAAAGAAGTGAGCAGATGACGCATTGCAGTCCTCATGAAAAACTGTCATTGTGAAATCGGGGTGAAGAGAGTAAATGAGGCAATCGTGGTCCCCTTTGCATATTCAGATGGGGTCTTTGCTTCTTTTTATGAATATCTCTTTGTCCGAGCTGTGGTGGTGCAGGGCTGTGTAAACCCTTAACAACATTCCTGAGACTGCATGAGAAACAAGGTAACTACAGTTTGAGAAATCATGGGCGAGATAGGGAGACACCCACTGGCAGAACTGAGATGTCAGTTTTAGGAAGAATTTCAACACAACTAAATGCTTGAGGAGGGTTTAAGGCCAATGCAGATATCCTTATTGGGCTACTCTTTAGTTTTCCCAAAGCCCGAATGTATTTTTAGAAAGACCCAATCGAAGGGAGCAGATAACCCTGGTGGAGCTGGCACCGCGTTCTACCCCATTAAGTTTGCAGAAGAAAAAAAAACACGTTAACTCACTTGAATGTGTCGAGAATGTGTGCCGAGTTGGTGTAATGAGTGAGGTAGAGTTTCATGTCTGCAGCTGTCCATCGGTCTGAACGGCACGGCTCAATAAACTGCAGGAGAGACGGAGGAGACGTGGTCACGTCCCAGACAGGAGCTCACACAGAGCTCAACAAGTCCGGGCTGGACAAGGAGATTTTTTGTTTTTGTTTACCAACAACTTGGAGAAAACATGTGGAAGAGGCGCTCACCTTCTCAACGAGGTCGATGAAGAAATCTCTGACGTCTTTGGTGTTGGTTAACTTTGCAGCGATGTTGACGAGGCCTCTGGAAAGATTCTACAACAGCAGAAGAGTTACAGTGAAATAGCTATGTTTCGTTTCAGTGTCAGGTTGTTGGGGGAATCAAGATTTATCACCTTGAAATTAGCCTCCATCTCACTAAAAGCTTTGGTCTTTCCTCTCAGAGCTGTGCAAACCAAACTGAGGAGAGAGGAGAAATTGGATATAAGAGAATGTGGATACAACCTTTTAGAGATCCAGCATGTTTAGTTATACTTCAGTCATCAGCACAAAAAAAGGGATAGTTTCGAGTGTGCTTTTCTTACCTTTTGTGTTGATCCAGCAGATCTTTGTCAGAAATTAAAATCTTTAGCTCTTTCAGATCCTGTAAAAACTCTTTATCAAGATCGACGTCCATGTCCTCCACCATGTTATCTGCAAAGAACACTCAAGTCAGGCTCAACGTAATCCGTTAATTTCTAATTTTGTATATTTCTTCATTATGGCTCGATTAACCTTTTTTACTCTGTTAAATAAAATTCTGATTTAATTCTCTTAAAGCACCGTAAAACCTGAAGGACCTCTAGTGGTCAGTGAGTCTTACTGACTAAATACGGCTTTTAATGTTGGTTGTTATACAGAAATCAGATCATTTGTTTAAAAATGACACATTCATTTTAAGCCCCATTAAATTCCTTCTAATGTTTATTTCTTATTCGTTGTTTTTCATGCATACACAACTGATGTTTTAGTGCGGTGCAAACCTCCAACCAAAACCAGTTAAGATATGACATTTAATTAATGTGGTGCACAGCTGTAATAAAGAGTCAATGTGCCCCTCGTATCTAATATCGGTGATACAGCCAAAGAAAACAAAAGAAATCCCTCACCGACGGCGCCAACAGTCCAGTTGTTGATAAGCTGCCCAGCACAGAAAGCAAAGTCCTGGAAAGTCAGATACTGCAGTTTTCTTTTCCCCGTCTCAAAACGATTGTTGGCAAAGAAAACGATGGCTGCGTAATCCCTAAAAAAGCAGCAAAGTAGATTAAAAAACAGGACAAGATAATAGACTGAGTGTATTCATGGGTTCAGACGACCCGCGAGCTGGCCTTGTAATCGGGTATATTGTTAGACTTTTTTTTAAAATGCGAATTATAGACAAAAAATATATATTTGGGGGAATAAAAACACCATTCTATGACTTATAAAATGAACCAACATACCTTGCAAGCTTGTCAGAGAGAAGAAAATGTTGACGGATGTTCTCCACAAGGGGTCCCTTGAGCTCTTCCACAACTTTGAAAACACGTTTGAAGTTGTCAAACTGAAATATAAACACAAGGAGGTCCATGAAGTTAACATTAAAACGTTCAACCACAACTTACACAATCTTTTCTCTAAATTCAGCAATCGCATGACAACTAATAAACAGGTGAAAAGTCTGTTTGTTTGACAAAGCCTTCATGGAACGCAAATACAACAAGGCTGCTTTTTCTTTTTACAAACAACCGAATGGAAGACCTGCACCAGAGGAGCACAGAACCACCGGGAGGGTTTGTCCTCACCTGACGTCTGCAGCTTTTCAGCGTGACACCTGTTTTGGAGCTGATGTCGTCCAAGTCTTTCTTTGTTCCTTTGGAAAGCTTCTTTCCCAAAACCTCACGCACAAACGCATCATCAAAAGCATAATATCTAAACCAAGAGACACAGAGTTCTCAGAACACAATCTCTGCCATCCCATTAAAAAGAAGATGGATTTAAAACATTAAGTACAGAAACTTTCATAGAACCTTGAAGACAAAGGAATCACCTCTCTATGAGGACAGCTTGTCGATGAGGTGTGATCTGGAAGAGCAGCTGGTTGGCTAGTTTGGATGGCGTGTGCAGCAGACGCTCACACATCTGGAACGTCCTATACTGGTCCATGGTGTCACTCAAAACTACTTCTGCATTTGCTTCACACTCATTGAGCACTCCTCCCTCCATGCGTACCTTGACCGCATCATTCACTGTTGGATGAATCACAGAACGGCTTACAGGCTCAGGAATCCACTTAGGGCAGAGATTATAGCATCGGGTGCTAAACAAACAGCAAAGATTTTCGCTGGTTGTGACTAGCATGCATCTTTTGAAAGTGGATGCTCTATCACCAGTGATAATAACAGCTGTGCCCCCAACTGTTTCATGGCACTAATAAAAAAACAACAGGTTAGGGTTCTTATTTCATAATGACAAAATAAAGAGAGAATACAAGAACAACTGATCCCCTGACTTTCTTTTTCCTCCATTCCACTGCTGTTAAGGCTGAAACCAAGCAGATCTCTTGCAGAATCCCTTCCTTTGAAGGCTTCAGTGAGAGTGAGGTGAGAGGATGCTTGTCAGATATGAGTACAAAAGCACAGGTGGCTCCTTTGTGGGAGTCTCTTCAGCAATAGTTGCAAATGAAAGGTGTTAAATATTATGCAACCCTGGAGAAGAAAACCTCATTATCAAACGGGGACACAGTTGTGCAACACGTCTCATTTGACTTGCTTGTCATAACCACACAAAGATGTGGATTATTAGTATTATATTGCATGTTCTCTGCCCCGTGAGATCCACCGTGTTTTTTAATCTTCAGTTACTTTGTCTGGTTCCTTTTCTCTTATTTAAAAAAAAATATTGAAGATTGATCCAGGTATACATATAGTTAGGTAAGATATCTATGCGATCAGACTTTTTTGGGGGCTGCACTTTTGTCCACAGAAGAGACCAGTTTTTCCATCTTGTTGGCAGGATTACTCAAATGTTTTTGGACAGTTTTGAATTAAGATTTGAATCGTCGTGTAACACTTATAACTAATATTAGTTTTCTATATTTCATACATCATGATCACAGATAAAAGTTTATTTTAATTCTCCTAAGAAAATGAGAAAGTTTCAATCATCTATGACTGCTTATTTAATGCTGTAATGGTTATCTTGTTATCTTTAGTTCATGTTACGCATAAAACCTTCCTCTTTTTAATACACCATTCGCTTAACAGACTTTCTGCCCTGAAATTTATATTTAGCCTTTAATTGATTTCAAAATCAACATTGCACAACTATTTGTGTTAACATGAATACAGAGACTCTTTATTTTTATTCCTTCAAATTTAATGAGTAATAATCTGGAGGGGGTCATTTCTATTCTGAACCTGGTTGTTCATCCTACCTGTATATCCATCCAACCAAAGTTGGTACACCTCCTCATCCATGATGGTAGTATTACCCACGAACACATCCAGCTCAACAGACATCTGAGTAAAAAATTTAAAAAAGCAGAAGCATTTACGGTTTGATCAGGTATCCATCCACACAGAGCTAATAGTCTCCAAGTGTTACGGGGTGATTTTATACCTTGTTTTTCTCCCCGAAGTGTTGTCTTCAATTCAGTGGCAATATTTTAACTTATCCAAACAGGTGCATTTAAGGGTTTGTTTTATAAACTAGGATTTAAAGCAGTCTCCATGGCTGGCTCATGAGCTAATTTGCTCCAGTTAGCCTCTTTAGCAAAATACGTCGCAAAGTTACCAACTTACAGTTGAAGACAAAGTAGTCCGAAGATAGCAAAAAACATAAGTAAGGAATAAATCGTAACCTATATGAGGTAAAATAGCAAGTACGTCTATCAATGGTGTGCCTGTATTTACATGAATGCGTAGCTGTCAACAACTGCTGAACACGAACTTCCTGTTGTGTGACGTCACATAAACGATCACGTGGACATCTTAAAATCTCTCGAGATCACATAGTTGAACACGTATGTATGTATGTATGCATGCATGTATGTATGCATGTATGTATGCATGTATGTATGCATGTATGTATGCATGTATGTATGTATGTATGTATGTATGTATGTATGTATGTATGTATGTATGTATGTATGTATGTATGTATGTATGTATGTATGTATGTATGTATGTATGTATGTATGTATGTATGTAGGTAGGTAGGTAGGTAGGTAGGTAGGTAGGTAGGTAGGTAGGTA